TTTTTTTTTTTTTTTTTTTTTTTTGCAACGCATGTTTCATTACTTCCCTGTAAAGTAAGGCATCATTCCGCCTCTATAAAATAAAACATTTTTTCGCGCTGATATTAACGGTTAGATATTATATAATTTTTTTAAAATAATTTTAAAATGGACTCATTAAAAAAATAATTACACACAAAAGCCATCCCATCCATCATCATATCATTTAGGATCATTGAATTTTTTTTTTTTTTTGTTAATTTTTCTAAAATGTATAAATTAAATTAATATAAACCTAAAGAAACATTTAAAAATGAATAAAAATTGAAATTATAAGAATTAAATTTTAATATATAGATACCAAAATAATATTTTAAATATTTATTAATTAAAAAATAAGAAATATATTTTTTACTCCTTATAATAATTTAATTTTTGTAATTATTCATAATATTAATTAATCATTATTATTAAATTATTATGAGATGAAAAAAGAAGTGGTCCCCACGGGAGACCGAAGAAGGGAGCAGAGAGAGAGAGAGAGGAGAATGGGGTGGGGCCCACAGTACCACAACCGTTAAGGGGGTCGTACCAGTTCCCACGACCATTGAATGCAATCACGTGGGCGCGTCTCTGCAGCGTACGATTGGGTGCAGAGATCTCAGCCGTCCAATATCTCCCTGGGCCCCACTCTCTCACACACCTTCCTTTTATTTTATTTTTTTATTTTTTTTATTTTTTTGCCCTCCTTACTCGGGCTCTCCTTTCCTCCTCCGCAATCGCCGTCTTTCCCACTTCCCCAAAATGCCCCTCTATTTCCAATAATTTTAAAAAATAAATTATTTTTTATTTATTTAATGACTCAATCATAATAATTTCAAACTTAAATACGTCGACAGTACTCGTGTTATTTGTGTTGATAGTTTTCCATTTTAGAAGCAATAAATAAGTAACATGATTATGTTGTAACAGAATATCGAGACCACTAAATATAGAATCTAGATTTCGAATGCGGATCTAATCCATCATTATATAAATAACATATTCATGTTACAAAATTAAAAATTTATAAATTTATAAAATACAAAATTAATTTAATTTTAGATTTAAAATATTGAAACAAAATGTTTAAATGACCATAATTATACATTTAAAAATTAATGATTCAAAATTAACTGTTAATTAAAATTAATAATTAATTAAAATCAAATTCCAAGAGGAAACCTTATTTCCAACATTGTCAGTTTAGTCGATCCATGCAAAAGAACAACAAATCCCTTTTAATTTATTACTATTAATATTACATTAATATCCATACCCGAACTCTCGGGTCATTTATTGACGCCTCAAATCAGGAGTGTTTATATAATCCGATAACCCGACCAATTCAGACTTCCCTACTCAAATCGTAAAACTAGGTTTGTTAGACGAACACAACTCTCCACAATAGTATGATATTGTCCACTTTGAGCATAAGCTCTCATGGCTTTGCTTTGGGCTTCAACAGAAGCTCTCGTACCAATGGAGTTAGTATTCCTCATTTATAAACCCATGATCATTCCCTAAATTAGCGGATGTGAGAGTTTCATCGTCCAACAGGGTTGAGTTTGATTTTTTTTTTTTTTTGGATTAAGTTGAATTTTTGGAAAACGAAAAAATAGAGTTACAACTCAACCTAATTGATTTTTTTTTAATAATTTTTAAAAAATAATAACCCGATAACCCTGTCAACCTGAAAAATAGAGGGTTTAATTGAGTTGGGTTAACCTGTGTATAGTTCTACCTCGAATCGAGTTTTTGTTATGACATGCTATGGATTCTCTCCCATTGCTACTTGGTTGATGGGTCGTAGTCCCGTCAAACATGTTTTTGGCAAGATTTGACAAATGGATACAAAAGTAAAAAGCTTCATTATTGAAAAAGTTATAGGTGTGTTGACAAGAGATTTGACGAACGAACAAAAAGTCAAAATTTTTATTATTGATAAAGTCAAAGAAGATTATTCAGAAGTTATCACGAGTCTCATTACTATTCTTCCATCCCTAATTTGTAAGTCGTCTCTGTCTTTAACAACAAAAAAATGTTTCAACAAAAGTCAGCATTGCTAGTTTAGCAATTAGTTTATTGCTTTGACGGCTCAACACAAAGATGCTTACAAGACACTACTCAAAAACCGTTAGCTACAAGCCGCTAGAGTTAAACCAAAGCTAAGCTCGTAAACCCGGAGATAAAATAAATATAAGAGGGTGACAACTACCATATAATGAACACATCTATGTATATAGTGAATAAAAAGAAGTAATGTGAAATGTCTATTATCTCCCTAACAATATCAAATAAATATTTAGGTAGGGATGTACACGGGTTGAGTTAAAATTTTTTGTTTCCGGCTAATTTAAAATTTCGGGTTTTTTAGATTGGTGACCCGAGCAACTCGAATGTAGTTCACAACCCAACCTTACCCAATCTAACCTTCTATTTTCGGGTTGACTCCGGTTGGATTCTTAGATTTTTTTAATTATTTTAAAAAAAATCATACCTATTTACCATATATATTATATTAATAATTAAATTAAGTTCAAATATCAAACATTTACCAGTTACAAACATTAAATATTCTTAATTTTTTTTAAAGGCAGTGTGAGATCCTACATCGGTAGGAGAATAGAACAAAACATTCATCATAAGGGTGTGAAAATCTCTTTCTAATAGACGCGTTTTAAAAATTGTGAGGTTGACAGAGATATGTAATAGACGATAGCGGACACAGCGATGAACTTGAGCTGTTACAAATGGTATCAGAGCTAAACACCGAGTAATATGTCAACGAGGACACGGGTAAGAGTTTGGAAACCTCTCCTTAATAGATACGTTTTAAATTCGTGAGGATGATAACGATACGTAATGAGTCTAAACGGACAATATCTGCTAGCAACAAATTTATGCTGTTATAGGTAGGGTTAAGTTGTAATTCTATTTTCGGGTTAGTCGGGTAAACCGACCAAATAAATTTTAACTCGCAAATCCAATTCCGAAAAAAATAGTTTGAGTTGGATAATTCAAGGTGGTCGGGTTCTTAGTTAAAATTAAACTTTAAAATATTAAATAAAAGAAAATATAAAAAGGGGAAAATGAAAGTCACCCGGAGCGTGCGGGTAGGAAGGAACGGGGGGAGTTAGAAAGCAAACAAATGAAGATTTTTTAATTAATTAATTTATTTTTATTTTGATGAAAAATAAAAAATAAAAAGGGAAAAATAATAATAAGGTAATGATGAAAAAATGGCATTAAAGGCTGACATGTGTGAAGTGTGCTTTTTAATTACTCCATTTGTCTTGTTGTGCATGCTGTGTCTGTGTCCATGTCTGAATCCAGAGAGACCCCGCCCACTGGCTATTGCAGGTCACACACTGTCCCCTTGACCGGTAACTGCAGGTCATCTCACTCACTCACTCACTCACTCACACCTCCATCATTTTCTTATCATCACATATTATTTTTTCTTATTTTAATAAATTAATTAATTAATACCATGCATTGGAATCTTGTAGGTATGGGTGCCCGTCACTCAATTAACATCTCGTGTTCGTGGGTTCGATAAGGTCGAGTTGAGACATTTTGGGTAAAATTTTCAACCTAAACCATCATTATAAAATAATAAACTCAACTCTCGTAAAACATTTAATTAAAATTTGCAACTTAATTTCAATACATATTTTACTGTAAATTAATAGAGAGATTTATTTCCCTCAATATCTTGTAGGTATGGGTGCCAGTGACTCAATTAAGGTCTCGTTTCTTAAGAGTGTTTGTGAGTTGAGTGGGTCGAGTTAAGACATTTTTGAAGGTTAACCTAATGGTTCAAGTGGTAAAATTTTCGATCCAAACAATCCTTATTAAATAATAAACTCAACCTAACCCTACCATAAATACGTTGAACCCGGCCTTATATAAAATTTTCATTTATTTGAACCCGGCCTAACTCAAATACGTTCATAATCCGAACCAAATGGGTTGATCGGGTTTTTGAGTCATGAATTTTTTTAAAGCCTCTAGGGTTTTTTACCAAGAATACCAACGAAGCTATACTAGAATTGAACGGTTTGGATTGAGTTTGGAGACGGTTAAAAATATATTTAAAAATGGTTAAAAATAAATGGAAAGAAG